GGTTGAGAGGGCCTCCAACCGCTTTTCACCATGACAGACCGTGAACTTGCTGCACTGCACTGGGTGGCTAGCCTGTTCACGCCTTTGGCCATGGCTGTAGCTCGTGTTTAGGCCGCGGTCTCACCACTCTTTATTTTGGAGGATGACCCCTGTGACCCCTGTGCCCACTTGGCCCCGTCGTGGATGGAAGGAGAAGTAGGGATCTGGAAAAGAGCTAGAAAGAGAGAGGAGTAGAGAGAGAGAAGAGCGATTTATCACAGTGGATTGAGAATGGATTCGGAAACGAAGAGCCGCATCGCTATCTGTATTTTATTATGTACAATGGTGATGATTTAAACAATCGACGAGGAGACAATAGTCGTAAAATGGCAATAAATTACATAAATTGTGCACTCATAACAACAGCAAAAAATGAAGAAAGTCAAGTTCCATAACGTTTTCTTGTGACTGTCATCAGTGGAACGCCGTCACATAAAAATGTAATAACTAAAACACACACTTATATACATGTAGCTAACATGGTTTCAGGTAGAAATACAGCAGCCAGCAAGTACAAAAAGCGAAGTTTGCAACTTTGCAAAGAAAACGTTTAATCACTCACACGCACCATTGTAGTATCCCTGCTTTACAGTTAACGCATGACTAGTACTTTGCATGACTCTTATAATTACTCTTGTTACTACTTTCGGACAAGTCCTACATCATGTACCTCACAAGTCACATTATGATTTGATTACATCAGGAGTACCGCGCTTCTAGAAGATCATAGATTCCATGCATGCTGCTGTAATCACTTCTAGTATCACTTCCTTTTAGTTACTAGTTGGTACAGTCATGACTCATGTACATGTATGTCATGTTGTTCCGGACTATTCCAGACCTTCCACGTCATAATGCCCTATGAGTAATGTTGCTGACTAAATTGCATAATATAGATATCTCATCTTCTAGAACACCTCGCTTAGTCATTATGTTAATGTTACGCAATGCTCACTTCAGCTACCTGTATAGCAATGATGCTCTAGGTTTACTTCTCCACTATTCTAGAACTTGTACTAGAAGGATGATTTCGTAATCACTGCAATGGCTTACTAACCTTACTTTCCTACCGCCGCCTGCTTTGCTATACATACTTTGCTTGCCTATAAAAGCTGCTGTCTTTTCTGCCACCATCAGATTAGCTCAGATTAGAGCTGAGCTGAGAGAGAGAGAGCAAGTTCACTTTCACTTTGATATAAGATAACCTCCAGGCCGTGCCGGAGTAAGTTCTGATACGTTAGTTGACTGACTGTGGGTAGTAGCCTCCTAGCCTCGCCGACGCACGTTACATTGGTGGCAGCGGTGGGATACGTTACATTGGTGGCAGCGGTGGTTCAATTTTATAATTGCTAGATTCGAACCCACCTAGTATCTGTACTGCAATGATGGCAGCCGCGCTACAGAATTGATGGCAGCGGTAAATTGTTTTATTGGTGGAACCAGTACCAGTATGGCCCAACCTGATGCGTCAGTCGCCGCTACTCCTTCGCCCGCCATGTCTCCCCCTAGCCCGAAATGATGACGGACAGCGTCTCTACCGATCAAGCGCCATGTCCAACGTAAGCTGATTCCAGGTATGGCATTCTCTTTCCTGTCTTCCTTCAGTCTTCCTATTCTCTTCAGTCTTCCTTTATGCGAGTGAGTGAATCCAGTTTAGTCCGGTAGGCGTCCGATCATGGTGAGCCACGGTCTACCTAGCTAACCTGGGACAATGTGTGTGAGAATCCCCTTGTGTACTCAGTTCGGCTTGGAACTGCGATTTGGCTGGCAGGTTGTGCCAGGGTTGTGCAGCAAGTGAACTGTGGTTTTTCGGTCCTGTTTGGAGGACAATATTCCCTTTTTGACCCCGTGAGATGGTGAGAACCTGGTGTGCTTCTATTTTTGATTTGTTATCAGTTCAGTTCTTCTGTCTACTCTAAAAATGTTATCATTTCCGATATTATTTGCCATATTCCGGTTGACGCTCTACAAGTAATACGCTATCTACTATGACGTTCACACCGCCTCCTATGATCTGCTGCTGAGCTCGAGCTACTACTACTACTACTACTACTTCTAGTGTCAGTTGTCACCCTTTCGTCCGAATATCAAGCACTCTGTTCAAGATTCAAGAATACATGTACGTGAATGCAAGTTAGTTGTCCAGTCCACCTACTGACGGTGCCTTCTAGTTCTAGTGAGTACTGTTCATCATACATCATCGAACTCTCTGTCAAATCACGAGGGCGTGATTTAGTGTAGGAAGGGAGGGTGTAGTATCCCTGCTTTACAGTTAACGCATGACTAGTACTTTGCATGACTCTTATAATTACTCTTGTTACTACTTTCGGACAAGTCCTACATCATGTACCTCACAAGTCACATTATGATTTGATTACATCAGGAGTACCGCGCTTCTAGAAGATCATAGATTCCATGCATGCTGCTGTAATCACTTCTAGTATCACTTCCTTTTAGTTACTAGTTGGTACAGTCATGACTCATGTACATGTATGTCATGTTGTTCCGGACTATTCCAGACCTTCCACGTCATAATGCCCTATGAGTAATGTTGCTGACTAAATTGCATAATATAGATATCTCATCTTCTAGAACACCTCGCTTAGTCATTATGTTAATGTTACGCAATGCTCACTTCAGCTACCTGTATAGCAATGATGCTCTAGGTTTACTTCTCCACTATTCTAGAACTTGTACTAGAAGGATGATTTCGTAATCACTGCAATGGCTTACTAACCTTACTTTCCTACCGCCGCCTGCTTTGCTATACATACTTTGCTTGCCTATAAAAGCTGCTGTCTTTTCTGCCACCATCAGATTAGCTCAGATTAGAGCTGAGCTGAGAGAGAGAGAGCAAGTTCACTTTCACTTTGATATAAGATAACCTCCAGGCCGTGCCGGAGTAAGTTCTGATACGTTAGTTGACTGACTGTGGGTAGTAGCCTCCTAGCCTCGCCGACGCACGTTACATTGGTGGCAGCGGTGGGATACGTTACACCATTACATTCATTCACACAGTATCACATTCATCTGCCACTACCTTTCTCACATACACTATATTCACACATTTGCAAAGGTGCAAACTTCGCTTTTTGTACTTGCTGGCTGCTGTATTTCTACCTGAAACCATATTAGCTACATGTAATTATAAGTGTGTGTTTTAGTTATTACATTTTTATGTGACGGCGTTCCACTGATGACAGTCACAAGAAAACGTTATGGAACTTGACTTTCTTCATTTTTGCTGTTGTTATGAGTACACAATTTATATTTTTTAATGGTGATGATCCGAATAATTTCCCCTGAGAATCACCTCACTTTGCCGATGGTGACAAATACCAGGCTTTGTCGCCGGAGGAAGCGAGACGTTTACGACTTTGTTGATGAAGACGATACTGAGGAGGATCTGCTGGCAATCTTGCCCTTGACAATGTTTGGCAGGAGAAAACGGCGTTTTTGGTGCGCCCTTCGCAGTCCCGGTGCCTGGAACGATGACGTTATCCAGCACTGGGCCATGGGCACATGTATTGAGTGGGATGTCTCTGACTGGGAGAACGAGCAGTATCGCCCCCGGCACCGGCTTCATTCGCAGCAAACTTTTGCGAAGATCCAGGCTCGTTTGCTCGAATCATTTTTCATTGTCGTCTGATATCGCGTTTTTGCTTCGTACCGCAGCTCGAGCAATGGCGCTCCATTACCATGCTCCAACTATCCATGGCTGACAACGAAAACCTTTAAAAAAACACTTCACACAACTACAATACAAGAGAAGAAGAAACTACCTGACTACAACAAACGTCAACTCAAGTTCTTCAACTCCTCTTGCACTCTTGCACTTCAGCCAAAATTATTCAGCCACTTTCAGCTTTTCAGCGCTTCCAAAACTTGGCAAAAGGGCTGAAAGCTGAAAGTGGCTGGTGCCCCGATTTTCAGCCGTTTCCGTGGAAACCTCAGCCAAAAAAAGGGCTTTTTTGGCTGAAAGGCTGAATCGGGCTCGGTGTGACCGCGGCCTTTATGAGCTCAGCTGTCTCATTTCCGCTGTCAGACTACAACGCGACTTGCATGGCAAAGGCGAAGGGGAGTCGAACCATCGCTGTTGGTGACGGCCTGACGGCAAGGCAGTGATAATATACTTCGACTTAGTTCAGTGAGGGCAAATTCACGTAAAGCCGTGAGATCCGTAGATCCACTATTTCATGTGTAGATCTACACGACTACAGACAGTATTAGCAGGCGCGTCGGAACGACTTTGGAAGTGGGGCGGCCATGGAAGGGGGTCCGGGGGTCCTCCCCCGGGAAAAAATTTCAAAAATTAAAGCCAATTGCAAGCATTTCCGGGCATTTGGTGCCATTTCAGTGTACGGTAACTACAATGAAAGACTTTTTGATTCTGCAAAAAACCAAGAAGATGCTACGATCGGGGACAAACATTACCCTCCCCCGGGAAAAAAATTCAAAAATTGAAGCCAATTGCAAGCATTCCCAGGCATTTGGTGCCATTTCAGTGTACATGGACTTATGATTCTGCAACAAACCACGATCGGGGACAAGGATTTGCCACGTTTGCGCTGAGATCATCGCGCTTTGTTGCAGTGTGCTAAAAAAAAAAAAAAAAAAAAAAAACGGCCGAAAAAGTGGGGCGGCCATGGCCGCCCCGGCCGGTGCGGTTCCGACGCCCTTGATTAGTAGTGGGATCTACACGACTCCCTGATCATGACATGACTCATGAGTGATCTACACTACATGCAGTGTAGAGATCTACAGTAACCTGGTAACAGGATCACTAAACCATGGTCCATGGAAAACAAAGTCAATATGAATGAGTCATAATTATTTTATCTGTCTGTCGTCGGGTAGTACTTCAGTCTTCAGCAACCGTGTTGACCAGGCCAGGCAGGGAGTCGTAAAATCCCTTTACGATTCCCTGCCTGGCCTAGACGTAGATCTACTAGTACTAGTACTACTAGTACTAGTAGTAGGTGTCGGCACTTCACGATCGATCGTCCTTCGTCCATTACTTTGTTTTCGTCTCTTTCAAGACTTTGTCCCTGGTCGCTTACAATTATTCTATAGTGCCAGTGGTCGGCGGTACGCGAGTTGCTGGAATGGCCGCTGAGGAGAATGCGGTGTTCACCGCTTTGGGATTGAACCAGGCTGAAGTGCCCTATCTGGGTACATTGGACGTGAATGAAACAGAGGATGAGTTGGGTCGAGGCTCATTTGCTGTGGTGTACAAGTCCAAATGGTGTGGATTAAAGGTGGCCGCAAAGGCACTTCATTCTATCCTGATTGATCGAAGAAACCAAGGACGCGACGTCGTACTGCATGATTTTGGAGCAGAGATTGCACGCATGGCACGTCTTCGCCACCCGCATCTGTGTCCCATTTTCGGCGTGGGCATGGTCGGAACAACTCCAGCCATTGTGGTGGAATTGATGTCCGACACACTGGAAACAATGAGCGTTGGTGCACGCAGACAGGACTTGCTTCAGCTGATGCGCTACATCGAACACACTGCTGCAGGTCTTCGCTACTTGCACTCCATCCCGATGGTACATCGCGACTTGAAGCCAAGCAATGTCCTCGTTGCCAATAGTGTGGCCAAAATCACGGATTTCGGCGTCTCCAAGCTACTGCCTAGCGTTGCCGATCAGTTCCGTGAAGCCGCTCAGTCCATGACCCGACAGCCTGGCACACCGTTATTCATGCCGCCAGAGGCGTTGCAAGAGACGGAATCTGGCCGAGCAAGGTACGATCTTTCGCTTGACGTCTTTTCGTTCGGAGTGACGGCAATGAGCGTGCTGAGCGGTGTGATGCCCTCCATTGAGCTCATGTTCGCAGCAAGATCGCGCCAGGCAGCTGACGGCAGCCACGTTGCTATACCTGAACTGGAGCGGCGACGCGCGGATTTTGCTCGCATCCCTGACGGCCACCCGCTGAAGGACCTGCTGAGACGCTGTCTTGCTGACCCGCCGGCCCGTCGACCAGATGCAGAGGAGATTCACGAATTCGTCCAGGGTGTTGTTCAGTTCTTTTCCTCATTGCCGCAGGTACGTGTGTGTTGAATTGTTAGAACTACAGTGTAGGTTAAAAGAGGATAAATACGAAATGACGTCAATGTTGTATTGTCGTGGCACGAGTCCCCAAGAATTATTAGAGCTTCATAGCATTCAACTTCCCTTGCCTTGCCACCTGGACCTCGTCATTTTCCTGTGTTGGAACTTCTCGATATCCGAGGGAGGAGGGGGGGGGGGGGGGGGGGGGATGGGGTTGTGAGTAAATCTAGAGTTTCCCCCGGTCGTTGGTTCCAACATTATCTTGAAGCCTGCAGTCCACGAACGTTGAGACGGCCATGTATATGTACGCACATGTCTTCTGTAAAATTCCCTAGGCGTGCGCTACACACTACGTGTGCGCTGCACACTACTAGTGCGCCGCACTCTAAGCGTGCGCTGCACCCTACACATGCTCTGCACCCTGCGCGTGCGCTGCACACTACTAGTGCGCCGCACTCTAAGCGTGCGCTGCACCCTACACATGCTCTGCACCCTGCGCGTGCGCTGCACACTACTAGTGCGCCGCACTCTAAGCGTGCGCTGCACCCTACACATGCTCTGCACCCTGCGCGTGCGCTGCACACTACTAGTGCGCCGCACTCTAAGCGTGCGCTGCACCCTACACATGCTCTGCACCCTGCGCGTGCGCTGCACGCTACTAGTGCGCCGCACTCTAAGCGTGCGCTGCACCCTACACATGCTCTGCACCCTGCGCGTGCGCTGCACACTACTAGTGCGCCGCACTCTAAGCGTGCGCTGCACCCTACACATGCTCTGCACCCTGCGCGTGCGCTGCACACTACTAGTGCGCCGCACTCTAAGCGTGCGCTGCACCCTACACATGCTCTGCACCCTGCGCGTGCGCTGCACACTACTAGTGCGCCGCACTCTAAGCGTGTGCTGCACCCTACACATGCTCTGCACCCTGCGCGTGCGCTGCACACTACGAGTAGTAGTACTACATTTGTAGTAGTAGTGGCCCCAGGCCACAGCATGGCGCTGGCCATGCAGCCGTGGCCGTGGATAAGCGGTACATACAATGATACATGCATTTTTAATCGCTGCAGCGCGCTGGTCGTATCGGATCAGCAAGTGCACTGCACGCAGCGTACTGAACGCGCTGAGGGCGCCGGCCCCGGTCAATCGACTGGATTTCCATGTCCGCTACAGACTGTACTTCTACTAGTAAGTACTAGTAGTACGACACAGTGTACACCTACCTACACATGTGTACAATACTAACATAGGCTACATAGGCTATAATGACCTGCGCGGGTAGATCTACATCATGATGAGAACGAACAGCAGCTACAAGTACAACTCGACCAGAAAATCGTAAATAATTCCGCTAGCCGAGCCTCCGAAATGCAATCAGTTGCAATGCTTGTACTAAAGTTGTAGTGTCCGCACCACTCCACTGCGCTTCATTGGTACATGGATGGTGTGTCTGCTCAATGAAAGCAGTGTCTCGTTAGTGAGAGAGAATGGAGCAGGAAGCTTTGCCCGGATTGATGAGAGAGTTAGGCTTGACAAATCAGGATATTCAATTCTTGGGAGACGTACGAGTGACGCAAGAAGATGAAGTGGGTCGTGGCTCCGATGCCGCCGTGTATCGGCTGAACTGGCAGGGAATAGATATCGCCCTGAAAGTTCTGCATCCCATTTTGATTGAGCCTGGTGTTCAGGACCGAGAGAGGAAAATTAGATCATTTGGGCAAGAGGTCTTCCGTCTCAGTCGTATCCACCACCCCAATCTTTGTCAATTGCTGGGCATTGCTAGAGTTGGGCGAAACGCTGCTCTCGCGTTGGAGTTGCTGACTTCGACGTTGGAAGAGTTGAGTATTGGTGAGGATCGGGAGGATGGCTTGATGCTGATCGGCTACCTCCGCGACACGTCGGCCGGTATCCGATACCTGCACGTTCGTGGTATTATCCACCGGGACCTCGCACCGAAAAATGTGATGATGAAGAACGGAGTCGCAAAGGTGTGTGATTTCTGTGTTGCGAAGTTCGTACGTTTGGCATCCCCTCGTCAACAGCAGCAACAAGTCCAGGCGGCTCGAATGGACATGACTGGTTGCCCCGGGACGTTGGCTTTTATGCCGCCGGAGGCCCTGGTAGAGGAACCTGACTATGATCGTCCGCTGGATATCTTCTCGTTCGGAGTTACGCTACTGGCTGTTATCACTGGTGTTATGCCAGGGATCGACCTGATCAACGGTCCGGCCGTTGTAATTGTGCGCGACGCCGCCAGTGGACGGGAAACGAGGCAGGTGGTGGCAGAGACAACGCGGCGAGCTGCTTATCTTCGGCGACTCCCTGATGACCACCCACTGAAGCCGCTGGCAATTCGCTGCCACTCCAATGAACCGAGCGAGCGACCGACCGCCGAGGAAGTACACGAGGAGATGAAGCGAGAGTTGCAGCTGCTCACCAGTCTCTCGTCGGTAAGTAGTTTGTTGAAGTAGAGTACTGCTCCAGGGCATAGCTTAAGGATTTCATTTAGCTCGGACAAATGTCCTTCCGTTTTGAAATCTGTCCGGACATGCCCGGACATTTTCCACAACACATTTTCAGGGTGTTTCTTCTTTTATTTTAGTAGTACTGAAGTATATTCCCAATGACTCATTATGTGGACCAAGAGTAGATCCCACGGCGGAATTTTTTGTTCACGTCACCTTTTTTTTCAGAAACGCGGACTTTGCCGCAGAGCAGTGTGAGAGCACGTGCTGGGCATCGACCATGTAGTGTAAAGCCCGGCCAAGTGCACGAGGGAAACCTCTCCAAAAGGCTCGCAGTGCGTGCGTCGTCGAAAAGATTACATCAACAAAAAATTCCGCCGTGGGCCAACCCATCCGCGAGTTGCACACTCTTGTTTATCTACTCTTGTGTGGACGTATCTCACACATTACTTTGTACAATTCGCCAATAATATTATTTATTTGTATTAGAAACTGAACTATTTACTGACGACAAATGTTTGTACAAGAAAGCGTTGCAGTGAAGAATTTTGCGAACGCGATATGCTCCTTGCAGAGAAGGTAAGTCAGTTCGAATTTGCGTCGTGCAATAGCGGCAGCACGGCCGTCCATCCTGCACAGTGCCTTCGCAATTGGAGCGAATTCGGGGGCATTTCGAGCGGGACACTCTTGCCTGCGGAAAAGATTCATTGCTCGTTTATGCATCTCCGTTCCAGCATGATCCTTGAACGCTGATGTTCTCAGGTTCTTGGATCCGGTTATGAAAGCCTCGCTGAAGTTTTTACAACTGCGGACTCTGTCTACAAACTTGATGCACACGGAACACATCAAACATTCTGCTAACAGCCGATCGTTCTTCTGCCGGTCATAAATCAGCCAGGCGGAAGTAGTCAGCTCTGTCTGCATCATGGTCCGAGATCCACTTATCGCAAGAAGCGGCCTTCACACCACGGACTTTTTGCCCAGCGGCAAGTCCTCTGAATCTCCCTTTCGCTTTCCACAAGACATTCTAAAAGACTATCTGCATTCCTGGTCAGTGAAAGAGTAAAAAATAAAAGATGACATCTTCCTCTCAAGAGCGAACAACTGCACTGCAGACTGCAGTTCAACCCATCGATTCAAGTGCGAAGTCGACACCATGTACCAAAGGCAAAGGTCGAAAGTGTGAATTGACTGTAGCAACCGCGCCGCGCGCGTTGCTACAGGCGGATCAAGTAAATCTGGTGAAGTCTACGCCTGAGGCTACGGGGTAGACGTGTTAGTTGTACGATATGCAAGTCGCATTTGGCACGAAGCTCCGAAGAAAGCCCAACTCTGCATAAAACGGTCGAAAGGTTGCTGCTCTTTTTTTCCTTTTTTGACCGGACACTATGTCCGGTGAAATTGAAAACGTCCGGTCAGTGGCCGAAAATGTCCGATGTCCGGCCGTTAATCTATGCCCTGCTGCTCAGTGAAATCCAGTCGCATCCCTCATTGCAAGTAAATTAATTTTAGTTTAATAGTTTAATAATAGTTTGCGCCTTGCATCATTCCGCATTTCCGTGCCCCTGGTGTTCACAGGTGACTCTAGCCTAGGGCCGTAGGGGTGCGGAAAGCCCGGCGCGTGGTTGAGTGACGCGACTGCATTTCAATAGAGAGGTCAAGATGCACGTTATTTCCGAGGTGACACGAAAGTTCAGCTCGCGCTATTTCGCTCGCGCGTCGAAAACAACGCGAGTGACCTGCAGCTCGCGTCGAAACTTGGAGTTTTACGCTGAATTTGACGTGAAATTGCGCGTCACGTCGGAAATCACCTGAATCTTAACCTCTCCATTGAGTAGCACTGTAGTTTGCTGAATGTATTTGAAGTGGTGTTTACTACTACTTGTGCAGTGTCCATGGGAACATGCCATGGATACAGGTATTGGTGAATGACAGTATGTTACAAGGTGGAGGACGAACTGTGTTCTGAAACAGTTCTTTAATAATATCATTTATTTATTACTACAGGGTGCGACAGAGCTCTCGGCCGTTGAAGAAAATGTTGACTATCACCTCCACCACTACACTACGCTCTTAGCCGACTAGACTCCAGTGTCTGCTTCAGAGCCGGGTGAGCCGGGTAATCGACCCGGTTGGGCGGCGCTTGGACCCGGTTGAAAATATAGTACCGGGTCACCTCTGACCCGGTTGGTACTTTACACGTTCGAACTTTGAAAGGACTGACTACATGGCTTGTATGTGTGACAGATCATGCAGAGGTGCGCGTCGAAGTGAAAGTAGTCAGTATCCCGTGTGTGCACGTGCTCAGTTCGAGCTTGATCGTTGAGGTGTTGTTTTTGGAAATGGAGCCTCCAGCGAAGAGGCGGATCCACAAGCCCTGCATGCTTTCAGGACTCTTGGAAAACAGGTCGTCCATGGCTTGTCTACGACATGGAGACGAAAAAGAAGACCTGCTCCTGGTGTGCGACGCACTTCCGTGGCAAAGTTGTGACTCGGCTGGTGAGATAGCGCCAGGTACATGTGTACCCGGCT